CAGTTAAGGGTTAGGTGTACAATGACGTTTCATTCAGGCACCCTGTAGATAAGAAGTGTATTCCCATCCCCCGACAGATATTTGCTACTGTTGTATTGTCATTTTTTAATGTCAGGCAGGAAAGATATGTCATGCTTTGAGCCTAAATAAATAAATAAATAAATGTCACCCTTTTGGGCCACCAGCGTAGATCTTCTGTTATGCCGTTTTCATTCTTGTCATTACTGTCTAAATTTAAACTCTCTGAGGGTAGTGACTATCTATTTCACTCACCTTTTTATATAACCACCCAAGACATATTTGACTAGTTTTATATAAAGCTAACTTCAATAAAACATAACAATAATCAGAACCAATGATATTGGCCTTGTATCATGAACTAGACTAGAAGCTTCTTTACTTACCACCATTGCTCCTGTACTAAAACCTTGAAATATCAACATAACTTAATAACTCTAATGCCTGGAAATATCATGCCCTGAATGTTAAAGAGCCAAAGGTAGATGATTCATCTGTTTTTTAGATATCTAGTCCACTATGATCTCTTGAGAATAGGTAGAACTCTGTGATGTTGATGGAAAGCAACTGTATTACAGATGGAAAGAGGAAGTGCTTTGACAGTGCACTTTATTGAAGCACAGTATGCTACAGAACAGCAGTAGAACAAACCAGAGTAGGGACACCTGAGCTGTGCAGATGTTCTCTGTCTAATTTAAACCATCAGAGACACCCCAGCTCATCGTTCTTCACCACTGCTCACAATTCTTGTCAATTTCACATGTCAAGATCCTTCTCAGTTTCTTACTTCTTCTCCACAAGTAATCTTGTCTTCCGTCCCTCCCAGTCATCCACTCCTGTGGTTGTACCCTAGAGCTTCTCACTTTGTTTTTTGTTGTGTTTTTTTTTTAAGTTGAAGTCTCACTCTGTTGCCCAGGCTGGAGTGCAGTGGCATGCTCACAGCCGCTGCAGCCTTGACCTGCTGGGCTCAGACGATCCTTCTGCTTCAGTCTTCCAATTAGCCGGAACAACAGGCGTGTGCCACCATACCTGGCCAATTTTTAATTTATTGTAGAGATGCGGTCTCGCCAAGTTGTCCAGGTCAGTCTCGATCCCCTGGGCTCAGGCAGTCATCTTGCCTCTATCTCCCAAAGTACTGGGATTACCGGTGTGAGCCACCGTGCCTGACCGAGCTTCTCACTTTATAACTACTACAAACCTCTTGTCTCGGTTGCAGCCATCTCACTCACTAGTCACTGACGCCCATCTCTAGTTCACTCCTCTATTGCCCCGACTCCTGCCATTCCTCAGTTTTACTGCAACCTCCAATCCATTGACTTTGCTGTATTGTCACTACTTTGTACCTCCCTGGTCCTCCTTTGTCTCCTTATCCAGCTTAGATTCTGTCGTCCATCTTCATCGTTTGCTTTGGTGTGCTCTCGTTTCCTCCGTCACCCCTTGCCTTCATACCTCCCTGGAAGATCCTGAGCCTTCACAAGCTCACTTTCTTTCTACTCTGTCCTTGCCCCTAAACAACTGAGTGTAACCTGAGTGAAGCAACCATGCTGACTGGTCTCACTTTGAATTCCTGATCACATGGGCCGTTAGTGCTGCCCATACTGTTTCTTTGGTTCATTCCATTGTTCACTTTCCTAGATGACTGTTTCATAACATTTTCTTTTTATTTTTATTCTGATACTTCCAAAACCTTCATCCTCACGCTAACCTGATAACCTTGCTTCCTGTGTCACTAAGGGGAAAGAAGTGATCAGAAGAAAACTTCTCTGGCCTATCACTATAGCATGTCAACTAATACTCTGCCTTCCCTTCGTTTCTGCAAATGAACGGTCTTTTCTGCTGCCGAAGGCCAATCCCTCCATGTCCTTCCTACAAAGAGATGACATTCCTTCTGTTTGTTGTGTCATTGTTTTTCTCGCATCAGTCTCCTCTTTCTTGCATCATAATTACCTGCTCCACTTGTAGGGTTCATCATTTCTCAGCCCTTTTTTATAGCAGAACTACTCAGACTTTTCTATACTCTCTGTAGTTAGCTTCTCTACTCCCCATCTCTATTGAACACACCGGTCTAACACTAGTCCCCACTCATCCACATAAACAGTTTTTACAAGGTAACCAGGAACCTCTGAATTGCCAAAGATCAGTGATCATCCTCATTTCTCACTCAGCTTGACCTTCAACAATATTTGATAAAGATTGGTCACTTCCTCCATAAAACCCTTTATTCATTTGGTCTCTAAAACAGCACCTTGGTTTCCTTCTACTTACTTGGCCATTATTTTTTAGTCTCCTTTGCCGTGTGTCTCTCATCTTTCTGACCCCCAAGTTTTGGAGTGCCCCAGGTCTTAGAGCTCCAGTCCCTCCTTTTTGTATTCATTTACGTCTAGGGATACCATCTTTTTCTGTGTCTTTTGCCACCGTCTGTATGCTGATGGCCCTACACTTACATCTCAAGCCCTAACCTCTCCCCTGGCTCTGGATTCCTGTATATGATGGCCTTCTAATTTCCACCCGAATCTCTAATGAGCATCTCAAACTTACTATGGTCAAACCTGAACTTTGATCTTCAATGCTTCCCCACTCAGTGGTCTCCCTATTCTTCCAAATGCTCAGGCCAGAAAACTGAGCGTATTCTCAATCCTTACTCTTTACTTTCATTTCACAAATGAATCTGGCTCTGTCTTCAACGTAGCACTCAAGAGTCTGACTCTCATGACACCTTCATAGCACCTTCAAAGCCTCTGTTGTTTCTTCATGGATTATTGTAATCACATTCTCTAAATAGTCTTCCTACTTCCATCCTTGCTCCTATACAGTATGTTCTCCATAGAGAAGCCAGTATGATCTTTCTAAATGTAGGCTAAGTCACTCCATCTCATTTGGGATAAATTCTAGTGTTTTTCCTGGCCTGCAAACCACTGCCTGATATAGCCCCAGACTCCTTCTCACCCACTCTGCTGTGGCTATCCTCAGCCAGGTACTCCCTCCCCTGCCTCAGACATTTGCATTGTGGTTCCCATTTTTTCTCCCAGATATATGCATACTTGGCACCTTTGCCTCTTCTAGATTTCTGGTCACATGTCACCTTACCAAAGGGGTCTTTTCTTACCATCTTGTCTGTGAGAATAACCCTTCCATATCTCCCGTATTGTCTTTTTACCCTAGTATATTTTTTCTTCCTGGTTTGCTAAGGCCTGACCTTAGATACTGTATTTACTTATTGTCTGTCACCCCACCTAGATTGTAAGATCCATGTTTTGTTTGCTACTATATCCTCAATAGCCTTGAACAGTGTCTGGCACAAAATAGATGCTCAAACATTTCTTGAATGGATGATAGCTTTGTTCAGCAGCAGAGCTGTAGGGAATGCCATTTTCCAGTTTACATTCTTTTCCTTCTTTTCTGACTCTTGAATCCCTGTTCTGATTAGACCCCATGTCCAGTCAGTTCATCGTTGTCTTCTTTGGATTAGAGTCCTTTGCCCCAGTCCCCTCTCACGTCTCTGACATCCCCACCTCACCTGCTTCTCTGTTTCTGTTCGTGGCTTAGAGGAATTTGCAGAATGGTGTCTCCGGACTCATCATGCTGGCAATTTGTTCTCATCTTTGATGATTCAGTATGCTCATCACAACAGCCCTTCTGCAATTCTCCCTGGATTTAAGTTTCCAGTGTGACTTTACCACATCCTGTGTTGGAAAATGGCTTTGCTTTTTCTTTTGTAAACTGTTAGTTCTGTGTTACCTCCCTCTTCACTTCTTTGAACCTTGCAGTGTTTTGTCCCTGCAGTCACTTCCTTGTCCTCACTTTCTCAGTAGTGGTCTTCCTCTTTTCTGAACCTATATCTTCCCTCAGTGTTCTGAGACCACCTTGTCTCATAATACATTTGACCTTTGCGTGGGTTTAGCTGTAAGACTTCCCAGCTATTACCTTTTTGCTAGTTTCTTTTCCCTCTACTTTGAAACAAGCATAGGCCTTTTTTTGTAGGGAGGAGGCAGAACAAAAATAAAAAATGCTTCACTTGCTCTCTTCTTCCTTTGTTTTTGGAATGCCTTTCCTCCTCCCTCTGGCTAAACCCTAGCTATTTTCAAGGTTTATCTCAGATTCTCCCTGTTCTATGAACTAACTGTGCCAGTTTTTTCTCTTTTGCAGTGCTATTTCATACAACTTTTTTGATAAATACTCAAGTACTGCCCCGTTTTGGGGGGTAACTTCTTATTTTGATATAATTTCAAACTTGTAGAAAAGTTGCAAAATTAGTATAAGGAAGGCCTTTATGCCCTTTACTCAGATTCACTAATTGCTTACATTTTGTCTCATTTGCTTTATCATTGTCTCTACAATACATTTTTATAGAGATAAAATGATACACATATGTGCATATTTTTTCTTTTCTTTTTTTTAACTTTATTTTTAAAAAGCAAAGTTTATTAGAGAAAGGAAAGAGAAAAGAAAGGGAGACAAGCCAGAGCTGGCATGGGCAAGAGAAATTGCCCATGTTTTTTTCTTAGTGAAAAAAAGAGTTTCCATGTCAGAATGTGTTTTCTCTTGAAAAATTCCCTTTCTGGAATTATTCTTTTAGATTTATATGATTTATATACTATAGTAGTAACTGAGTTGATGATAATGTTGGTAGTTACAGAAGGTATGACATAGACTTTTTGAATATCAAGGTGTGAATTTCAGAGACTTGAACACAGAATGGATCAGTACTGTACAAGTAAGAATGATTTTCTTCTTCACAGTCCTGGAAGATATTGCTCTTTGGTGCAATAAACCTGATATGTACTGGCTTCCTGCTCATGTGGTGCAGTTCTACTAATAGTATAGGTATGTCACCATTTGTAATTTCTGTGGAGTTAGTTATTAGTTTCATTTTTATTATTCTGATTTTAAATAAAGGCACACCATTCTTTACATAGAATATATTATTCTGAAATGTATATAACCCAGTGATTTAAATGGCCCTGTAAACTGTAAAGTTTGGTTGATTTGTTAGGACATTATCATTTTTAGTGAGCTGCTAAAACAAAACAAAATCTATATGTGAAACTAAGATTTCTTTTTAATGTGATAGATTAAGACTTTATGCAGTTTATAAATAAGATTTTTGTGTATGTGTGTCAGAGTCTGACTCTATCGCCCTGGCTGGAGTGCAGTGGCACGCTCATGGCCACCTCAGCGTCAGCCTGCTGGGCTCTGGCAATTCTTCTGCCTCAGCCTTCCAAGTTGGCGGAACTACAAGTGCATGCTACCACGCCCTGCTAATTTTTTCATTTATTGTAGAGATGAAGTCTCACCAAGGTGCCCAGACTGGTTTCAAACCTGTGGGCTCAGGCAATCCTCTCACCTCAGCCTTCCAAATTGCTGGGATTATAGGATTGAGCCACTGTGGCTTGCCTATAAATAAGATTTTGAGGCTTGTTGATTTTTTTTCTTAAAAAGGGAATTCTGTGATTTTTTTCTCATGTCTTGACTTCTTATGTTTTTAAACATTGTTCTTTTCTACGATTCAAATAATACACTTCAATTAGTACTGAGGTGACAGCAGGCAGAAATATGGTCACAGGGCCTTGGAGCATGTACTGCTTCATTTTTCCTGATGGAGAAATTGGGTTCCACAGTAAGCTCCTCCGTTAACCAACTTTGGCTGCATGTCAAGTTTATTAAGTTTACTAGGTAATTACCACAATATGAGATTGACCCACGACATAAAACTTTTTTCGGTAGCAGATATCCCTGGTTTGAGCAGTTTTGGTGACTTGCTGTGTTTTATAACCAAGGATTCAGTAACATTTTAATTAGTCTTTTTGTTGTTTTGCAGCTTTAACTGCTTATACTTACCTGACCATTTTTGATCTTTTTAGGTAAGTTAAAAAAAATCTCTTTAATGTATTGGAGCCAATAAAGACTTTGTTGCTTTGAATTTATGAAGACATTTGCATAAAGGAAAGTAACATACTAAACAAATGAAGTAATCAACATAGGACATACACACAGACATCAACAATTAGAGATATAATAGACAAAAACATAATTTACATAACAACAAAAGATAAATACCCAGGTATAAACTTAATAAGATATGTATGCACTGTGTGAAAAAAACTTCAAAATGATTCTAAAGGACAAAGAAGAAGACCTGGAAAAAATGGAACGGTAAATCACGTCCTTAGATAGGAATACTTAGAATCATTTTAAAAAGTCAGTTCTAAATTAATCAAACTAGGCAAGCTTGTTCTCAATTTCATGTGAAAAACACTGAACAGAATAGAAAGTTGAGTAATAGACCTAAACACTTAGGAGAATTTATTATGTGATATTTTAAAGATGACATAAAACCCAAAAGCAATAAAATATGGATAAATTCAATTATATTAAAAATTTTAAATCTAGGTAGCAAATATTACCATGAACAGAGAACAACCTGAGAAGATATTTATAATTCATATTTTAGACAAAAGGCTAATTTTTTGGGGGGAGGGGTTGGAATCTTACTCTGCCCCCCAGGCTGGGATGCAGTGGCATGTTCACGGCCACTCCATCGTTGACCTGCTGGGCTCCCGTGATCCTTCCACCTAAGCCTTCCAAGTAACTGGAACTATGGGTGTGTGTGGTAACACCTGGCTCATTTTTGATTTATTGTAGAGACAATATGTGGTCCATTATGACTGTCCATTTCCTCCTTGTTGAGGCTGTTGGAGAAACAGGTGCTCTCCTGTTTTTTAAAAACTCGGCTTTAAGCCGGGCTCGGTGGCTCAGCCTGTAATCCCGCGCCTTTGGGAGGCTGAGGTGAGTGGATTGCCTGAGCCCGCGGGTTCGAGACCCGCCTGGGTAGCGAGACCTCATCTCTACAATAAATAAAAAAATCAGCCGGGCGTGGTAGCGCATGCCTGTAGTTCCAGCTACTTGGAAGGCTGAGGCGGAAGGATCGCCAGAGCCCAGCAGGTCGAGGCTGCGGTGGCCAGGAGCAGCCACTGCACTCCAGTCTGGGCGACAGAATGAGACTCCAACTCAAAAAAAAAAAAGAAAAATCAGCTTTATTGAGATATAATTTGCATACCTTCACAGTGACTTTTAGTATATTCAAAGAGTTATGCGTCCTTCAGTTTTATAACATTTTCATTACTCTCCAAAAAGAACTCACTCCCCTTAGCCCTTACTCCCCAGTCAGTCCATTTCCTCCTCAAACCCTAGGCAACCACTAATCTACTTTTTCTCTCTGTGAACTGGCCTGTTTTGGACATTACCTATAAATGGAATCACACAATATGTGGTCCATTATGACTGTCTTCTTAGCCTAATGCTTTTAGTGTTTTATTGTAGTATGTATCAGTACTTGCTCTTTCTTTTTATGGCTGAATTATGTGACTGTACCCATTTTATTGTTCACCATTTGATGGACACAAGACTGTTTCCACTTCTTGGCTATTAGGAATAATGCTGCTGTAAATGTTTAAGTTTTTGTTTAGACATAGATTTTTATTTTTCTTAGTTATATACCTGGGAGTGGAATTTCAGGATAATATGAAAACTACATGTTTAAATGTTTGAAAAACAGCCAGACTATTTCCCAAGGTGACGGCACCAATTTTTTTCTACTGGTAGTGTATAAGGATTCCAGTTACTCCACTTCCACACCAACACTTGTTATTATCTGTCTTTTTATTATAGCCATCCTAGTTGATGTGAATTGGTATTTCATTGTGCTTTTGATTTTCATTATCTTATTGACCAATGATGTTAAACATTGTTTTGTGTGTTTATTGGTCATTTGTATATCTTCTTTGGAGACTTACCTATTTACATTATTTGCCCATTTTTTACTTGGGTTATTTGTCTTTTTATTGTTGAGTTGAAATCGTTTATTACGTATTCTAGATACAAATCTCTTATCAGATTTTTGACTTGAAAAACTTTCTCACATTCTGTGAGTTGTTTTTTTGTTTGCCAGTGTTCTTTGAAGTCTTTAAGTGTTCAGTTTTGATGGAGTCCAGTTTCTCTCTCTCTCTCTCTTTGTGTGTTTGGTTTTTTTGAGTCAGGGTCTCACTCTGTCACCAGTGGCACACTTATGGCCACCCCCAGCGTTGACCTGCTGGGCTCAGGCGATCCTTCTGCCTCAGCCTTCCAAGTAGCTGGAACTACAGGTGTGTGCTACCACGCATGGCTAATTTTTTGATTTATTGTAGAAACGAGGCCTCACCATGTTGCCCAGGCTGGTCTCGAACCGCGGGCTCAGGCATTCCTCTCGCCTTGGCCTCCCAAAGTGCTGGGATTAACAGGCTTGAGCCACCGCACCTGGCTGATGAAATATATGCTATTTGTAATTCATATGTCCCATAGTGCATATGATGTATATATGCTATTTGTAATTCATATATCCCATAGAGTTCTAAACTTGAGAATACATTAGAATTACTTGGAAAGTCTCATTAAAATACGTACTGCTTCATTTCCATAGTTTCTGATTCAGGAGGTATAGGATTCAGGAGGGCTCAAGAGTTTGCATTTATAGCATCAGGCGAAACTAATACTGCTCATTTAGGGACCACACTTTTGAGAACCAGTAGTCTGTGTAATCAAATGTTAGGTCTCCATAAATAGGGCAAAGCACTGAGTATATTGATATGGGATAGAGATATGGGATAAGTGGAAAAAGCAAGATACACCATGGTGTGTATAGGATACTGTAATTTGTACTGAAAAGGAGAAAGAAATAAGACACACATGCACAGCCAGACATTACACTCATTTGTTTGTATTTGCATAAATATTCATGGAAGGATAAACAAGAAACTGATAATAATGGTTGCCTCTGAAAGTAAGGCTCAGTGGCACGAAGACAAAGTTAGAATTTTCCCACTTTACATCCTTCTGCAAATTTTTTGTTTTATTTTATTTTATTTTATTTTATTAGTTTTGAGTCAAAGTCTCCCTCTGTTACCCAGGCTGGAGTGCAGTGGCACCATCACTGCTTACTGCAGCCTCCACCTCCTGGGCTCAGGCAATCCTTCTGTCTCAGCCTCCCAAGTAGCTGGAACTACAGGCATGCGCCACCGCACCCGGCTACTTTTTTTGAATTTTTGTAGAGGTGAAGTCTCACTATGTTGCTCAGGCTGGTTTCCACCTCCTGGGCTCAAGCAGTCCTCTCACTTCGACCTCCTGAAGGACTGGAGTTTTAAATTATGTAATTAAAATACTAATTCAAAAATAAATGTTACCTAGGGGAATAGTTATTAATGTTACAACCACATTTGATAATAATTAATAAGTAAAATTCAAAAAAATAACAACGAGGGGAAGGGGGGCATACTTCATCAACAAGGGTACCTGCATAATAGAACATTTGTATCCCTTACCCTGAATTGTACCCCACATCTTTAAAATTAAAAATTAAAAAAAAAATACCAGTGGGACCCTAATGTCCTGAAGTCCATAAGTAAGCTATTTTCTCTCCTTTGAAGAGGCTTCTCTCTTTGGGGCCACAACTCCCATCCGTGTCAACTCTCGATTCTTAGCATCTCAGAAGAAGGAGGCGTGTGGTCCAGGTTCATGAGGAGGCTCAGAGGCACAAGGAGAAAGTGGCACCTGGTTTCAGAGCACTGTGCTAATGAATGCTGTTGGTTTACATAGAGGTGCAGAAGTACATTGTAATGCAGAACATTAATTCCCAAAGGATGTTCTGTTTTGTTTTTTGAGTCGGGGTCTCACTCTGTCACTCAGACTGGAGTGCAGTGGCAAGATCCTGGCTCACCACAGCCTCGACCTCCTGCACTCTAACAGTCCTTCCTCCTCAGCCTCCCGAGTATTTGGGATTACGTGCCACCACACCTGGTTATTTAAAAAATTTTTTGTAGAGTCTAGGCCTCACTATGCGGGGACTGGTCTCCAACTCCTGGGCTCAAGCAGCCCTATTGCCTCAGCCTCCCAAAGTACTGTTATTACAGGCATGAGCCACCACAGCCAGCCTCCAAAAATATGTTATTAAACTACAGAAATTGATAAGAATTGATTTATACATACAAATAGAACTAACATTTTGAATTTTTTTTAGTGAGTGAGTGCTGATTTATTACATTTATAGAGTAAGGCAAAGTAAACTAGATGAAAACACCATATTTCAGCAAATATTATATTCCAACAATTATAAGATAAATACTCATTTTATGTGTTTCCAAGAAAGAGAAAAATGCTACCAATTCAACTGTGATGCACCACACACTGTAAGACCCTGATTTTAGGGTTTCTACAATGTAAAAAAATACTCTTCTTAAAATTGATAATAAAGGTTTCAGAGACTTTTCATTCATTTTTTTAAGGGTGAAATTTCAAAAATCAGTATTCAGACACACTGAATTTTTCAGGTTTTTTATTATTGGCAAATCTCATCAACATAAAATTTAATTATAAAAAGAAAAATTTTATAATTTATGCTTCAGTAATATATTTCTTTCTTTCCTTTTTCCTTTGTGCCCAGGCTGAAGCACCGTGGCACAATCATGCCTCATTGCAGGATTGACCTTTTGGTCTCAGGTGATCCTTCCACCTCAGCCTCCTGAATAGCTGGGACCACAGGCATGCGCCACCATGCCTGGCTAATTTTTAATATATTTTTTTATAAAGACAAGGTTTCACTATGTTGCCCAGGCTGATCTCAAACTCCTGGGGTCAAGCAATCACCTCAACCTCCCAAAGTGCTAGGTTTACAGCTGTGAGTCAGCACACCCAGCCAATCGTATATTTCTGACCACAAAAACTCACTCAGTCTTTATCCAGTCCAGTTTTGAAAGTCATCTCTGCCTTCAAAACCAACCAGATCATTAGCCTAGCTTCCATGTAAATACCAAATTCTGGCTGCTTATTTGCATTGCACGTGAGGTTAGTGGACTGAAAACTTGGTCATGATGAATGTGAAACTCCGGCAGGGAATTAGCCAGGACTCTTCTGGTTGTAGCCATCAGACTTCCACTGGAGCTGTCTTGGGGGAGCAGGGGTGGAAGACCCTCAATTTTATAGGTTCAGGGGTGTTTCACGGAATCTGCGGGCAGCTTTGCTAGGCTCCAAGACCAGAACTCTGTAGGCGTCTAACTTGCCCTCTCCATCTTGCCTGTCTGCTCCCTATGCGTGGACTCCTTGGAGCTGTAGGTCAGCTTTCCTTGCTCCCACTCCAGGGATAGAAATAGAGATCCTGCTCTAAATGTTCCAGGTGGCATTTCTGCTCAGGAAAGCAGACAGTTAAGCCTGGAATGCCATGGTTCAGCTCCACATTTTCCCGGAGCAGAGTTTGGGCCCAGCTTAGGTTGGTGCTTCAGGTGCCCACCTGTGAATGAGTCACTGCGGCCAAGAAGCAGGGTCACAGGAGAGCATACCAGGTCCCACTGTGTGTAGATGGGGCTTGAGGGTCAGTTAATAACAAGTGATGAGTCATGAGCTGGGAAGCAGCCTGTTGACTCCCTGCATCGTGGCCTTTCGTATTCCCATTAAGGGTTACAAAAGACTTCCACCTGGATGTCTTCAAGATCCTAGGCTTAGGGGTATGACTTAAGGATGCCTTTTCATTAATCAGGTACCTCAACCTGTTTAATTGGTTCTAAAACAGATTGTTGTTACTGAATTTCACACTGTAGTAAGTTATTTTAGAGTGAATCTCCTCTATACTTGGAACATAATCTTGGAATATAAGATTCTTATTCAGAATGTTGTCAGAGCGTTACTAATATTTTGTTTAACTTCTTTTTTTTTTGAGTTGGAGTCTCACTCCATCACGCAGGCTGGAGTGTAGTGCTATGCATGCTTACAGCCACCCCAGCGTCGACCTGTTGGGCTCAGGTGATCCTTCTGCTTCAACCTTCCAAGTAGCCAGAACTACAGGCGCGTGCTACCAAGCCCAGCTATTTTTTTAAAAATTTATTTATTGTAGAGATGAGGTCTCGCCAAGTCACCCAGGCTGTTCTCGAACCTGTGGGCTCAGGCAGTCCCCTCACCTTGGCCTCCCAAAGTTCTGGGATTACAGGCTTGAGCCACTGCGCCCAGCCTTGTTTAACTTTTAACAAATATTAATGCTTATCAAAGTTAAAATGTATTGTATCTGCCTCGGGTAAAATATATTACCATTATTGTTACTATGCCATTTTTTAGCATTTTCAGTTATAGAAACCATTTAGGGTAAATAGCATTTATAGAGAAAGTATGAGTTTAGGTTCTGTTTAACTGACTTAATGATATATTATAAATTTCTTCACGTGTTAAAACAGTCATCTTCCAAATATGCCATGTATCAGTATGCTCATTGTGATTAGATGATAAATGATTGGAATTGTTTATTTATTCTAATAAATTATTAGAGTAATTATTAGCTTTGTCTATGCAAACACTGATAACTTCCAGCATCATAGGAATTCTGAAAACTTAATTTATCTTTGCATATTCTCTTCTAGTTCTGGTTCTAATGTTAAATTTATTTTTCTTTTTTACTTAGTTTAATGACATGTTTAATAAGTTACTGGGTAACTATGAGGAAACCCAGTCCTGTCTATTCATTTGGGTAAGTTCCAGTTACTTTATTTTCTGATCATTTATGGCTACTCAAATAAGCATTATGATAGGCAGCAAAGAACTAGCTAGAGTATTGCTGGAAAATAAATGCTGCCTGCTTGGTGAATGATCAAATAGTGAAAATAGATAGAAAAGCGTCTTCCAAAAGAAACCTAAATATTTTAAATATAAATCATATAAAAATTAAATGTTCATATTAGGTTCTTTTTATTTTAGGAACTTCTTATTTTAGCTAGTAAAAGTATGAAGGATTTTCATGTCAGTATACCATCTAGATGTTAAAGTAAATGTAATATAGTTTAATATTATACATTGGTATACATGGAGTCTCACTCTGTTGCCCAGACTGGAGTATAGTGGCATGTTCATGGCTATCGCAGCCTCAACTTGCTGGGCTCAGATAATCCTTCCACCTCAGACTTCCAAGTAGCTGGAACTACAGGCATGCGCCACCATGCCTAGTTAATTTTTTGATGTATTATGCCAGGTTAATTTTTGATGTATTGTAGAGATGTCTTGCTGAGTTGCACAGGCAGATCTCTCATCTCCACTTCCCTAAATGCTGGTATGAACCACCACGCCCGTCTTAGAGATGTATTTTTATCTAAGACTTAATTTGTGATAGCGGTGGATCTAACAAAGAATTTGTTATTTTCTAGTAATCTTTTCTACCAGAGGGTTTCAAAAAAATGTATTAAAAAATGAGTTCCAGCTGGGCTCAGTGGCTCAGCCTGTGATCCCGTGTTTTGGGAGGCCGAGGTGAGTGGATTGCCTGAGCCTGCGGGTTCAAGACCCGCCTGGGCAACTTGGCAAGACCTCATCTCTACAATAAATAAGAAAATTAGCTAGGCATGGTAGAGCGCGCCTGTAGTTCCAGCTACTTGGAAGACTGAGGTGGAAGGATCGGCGGAGCCCAGCAGGTCGTGGCTGTGGTGGCCGGGAACATGCCACTGCACTCCAGTCTGGGCAACAAGAGTGAGACTCCAGCTCGGAAAAAAAGAAAAAAAATGAGTTCCTTTCAGGTTCAAGGATTTGAAATTTGAAAGAAGAATTTTACTTCAGTAAAAGAAATTTTTGAACCAAACTTATCCTTCTTCTCTACTACACCATGCTGTCTCTTGGGATTGCATTCTTTTGAACAAAGTCAGATTGTATGTACTCAAACAATGGTGTGAAGTAAACATGAAATGTTAATGCAAAATAAGAGTATTCATAAGTGTCACTGAAATTTGATAGACTTGGACAATCACTATAACAGTCACTGTGAGGTATAGATAGCCATGTGAGGAAATCTGTCACTCTTTGAGTCAAATATTTTGTTTGCAAGTGACAGAAATCTAAACTAAAGTAGTTTGAGGGGAAGTGGGGACTTTGACACTTTATGGAACCAAACTCAGAGAAGACAGTAACTGGCACAGGCACAAGGCCACTGAGGACGTTGTCTCTTTCTTACGGCTCAGGCCTGCTTTTCTCTGCATGCTGGGTGCAGTCTCTTTCCTTCAGCAACCCGGAATGGTCACTCCTAGCAGGACTTAATTCACACCCTCTCACCTTCATCCTAGAGAAGAAAGGACTCTTCCCCAGCCCTGGTTCAGAAAGCCATGAGAAAGGACGACTGCTTGGTCCAGCGTGGCACAGGCGTTAGCTGAGTTACTGAGGGCGGCAGATGGGCACGGAAGGACCTGACAGCTCCCATTTAGGCCCACCTGCTTAGAGTGAACAGGAAAGGAGGAGTTGATTAAACAATAAAGTGAAGAACGGAAATAAAATTGCAGTCAGTCACATAACTTGCTGTGTCGAAAATATTGAATGACTTCAAAATCCAGCTCTCCAGATCTGAGAACTACCTAGAGTTTCAAACTAACCCCCTGACAACTTCACATTTGGTGTCCTTTTTTATTTTTTATTTATTTCTATTTTTTATTTTTATTTTTATTTCTTGAGTTGGAGTCTCACTCTGTCACCCAGACTGGAGTGCAGTGGCTGCTCCCGGCCACGCAGCCTCAACCTGCTGGGCTCCGGTGATCCTTTTGCCTCAGCCTTCCAAGTAGCTGGAACTACAGGCGCACGCTACCATGCCCGGCTCATTTTTTAAATTTATTGTAGAGGTGAGGTCTCGCCAAGTTGCCAAGGCGGGTTCCGAACCTGCGGGCTCAGGCAGTCCACTCGCCTCAGCCTCCCAAAGGCACGGGATTACAGGCTGAGCCACCGAGCCCAGCTTATTTTTTTTTTTGAGTTGGAGTTTCACTCTATCGCCCAGGTTGGAGTGCAGTGGCACGTTCACGGTCACCCCAGCCTCGACCTGCTGGGCTCTGGTGATCCTTCCACCTCAGCCTTCCAGGTAGCCGGAGGTACAGGCATGCACTATCATACCCAGGTAATTTTTTGTGTATTGTAGAGACAAGGTCTCGCCAAGTTGCCTGGGCTGGTCTCGAACTCGCGGGATCAGGCAATCCACTTGCCAAAGTGCCGGGATTACAGACTGAACCACGGAACCCTAATTAGTGTCTTAAACTTATGGTAGAATTCATGGTTTCTTCTCCCCAAACCTTTTCCTATGTGGTTTTCCCCATGTCAGTAAATACCACCAGCACTCATTTGTTCAAGCAAAAATTGTAGGAATTACCCATCACCCACATCTCACCTATCAGTGGATTATGTCAAGGTATCCTTTGTCACACCCAGAATTTGCCCTGTCCCCATTCCCATCTCCCAACCACCTTTCCTGACCAGACGGCCTTCATTTCTTGCCCTCCGTGGTGGCTGACGCCCTCACTCCCCATCGTGTGTCTGCTCTTGCCCTGCTGTAGCCTGTTTTTTGTAGAGCAACCCGTGTTTTTCTTTTTGAACCTAAATCATATCATCATGCTTCTCACTAAACCATCCAGCTGTTCCCATCATCCTTAGGGTAAACTCCCGCCTTCTTTTCCTGACTTACAAAGCCCTTATGTGAGCTGCACCCTGCCTGCTTCTCCTCAGCTTACCACCCTCATGACCAACCTCCTTCCTATTATTTGAACGCAGTTAACTCATCCCTGCCTCAGGGCCTTAGAACATGCTCTGCCTAAATGTTCTAAGCCTAATCATTGCAAGATTAGCTTCATCTTGCCATTCAGATCTTAGTGTCACTAAGTGCTAGTTGTCATTAAGTGACTCAGTGGCCCAGTCTATAGTAGTCATCTGGCGAGCCTCCTGTCACCTGAGATACTGGAGTTCTCTGTATGGTGCTTACCAAGTAAGTTATTTGTTTTCCTGTTCTCTTTATTTATTTATTTATTTTTATTTATTTATTTTTTGAGTTGGAGTCTCATTCTGTCGCCCAGACTGGGGTGCAGTGGCCGCTCCCGGCCACCGCAGCCTCGACCTGCTGGGCTCCGGCGATCCTTCCGCCTCAGCCTTCCAAGTAGCCGGAATTACAGGCATGTGCTACCATACCCGGCTAATTTTTTGATTTATTGTGGAGATGAGGTCTCACCAAGTTGCCCAGGCGGGTCTGGAACCCGCGGGTTCAGGCAATCCACTCACCTCAGCCTCCCAAGGTGCGGGATTACAGGCTGAGCCACCAAGCCCAGCTCCTGTCCTCTTTAAAACATAAATTTCATGAAAGTACGGGTCCTATCTTGTTTTCTTTTATATCCTATGTAGTTTGATGAATTTTAGGAAATGAATACATCTCTCTAATTACTATCTCGATCATGATATAAAACATTAAAGCCCCTCAGAGCCTGCCTTCATGTCCACTCAGAGTCAGACCCTGCCAAAAGTAACCTGTATTCTGTCCTCTATTACTGCAGATTAGTTTTGTCTGTTTTGTTTGTGTGTTTGTTTGTTTTTAAGTCAGAGTCTCACTCTGTCGCCCAGGCTGGAGTGCAGTGGCACACTTACGGCTACTGCAGCCTCGACCTGCAGGACTCAGGTGATCCTTCCTCAGCTGGAACTATAGGTGCACACTACTTGCCCGACTTACATTTTTTTTTATTGTAGAGATGAGTTCTCAACAAGTTGCCCAGGCTGGTCTTGAACCCCTGAGCTCAGGCAGTCCTCTTGCCTAGGGCTTCCAGAGTGCTGGATTACAGGCTTGAGCCACTGCGCCCAGCCTGCCTGTTTTTTTAATAACAAAGATGGGATACAGTATATACTCTCTCATGTAGCAGTTTATTCTTATTTATTACTCAAATATTCCATTATGTGCATATAGCACAAATGGGGTACTTGTTTAACTGTTGAAGGACATTAAGGTGACTTTCAGCTTTTAGCTGTTAAAAATAAAACTACTTATGAACATTTTTGTATATGTCTTTTGGTACACACATGTATTACAAAAAAAAATTTGGTACACACATGTGTTACTCATTTGTTCTGGGTATGTATCTTTGAGAAGAATTAGTCAGAATTTGCTATTTCATTAGAAGATAATACCAGTTTTCCAAAGAGGTTTTACTAATTTACACTCCCACTGAGAGTGTTGGAAAGTTCCAGTAGCTACATGTTCTTGCCAACAGTTTGTGTATTTTTTTTTAAAAAGCCATTCTATGGTATGCAGTAGTATCTCATTGTGTTTGTTATTTTTCTTATGACTAATTGAGCATCTTTCCATTTGTTTATTAATCATTCAGATTACCTGTTTTGTGAAATGTATGTTAAAAACTTCAAACCTTTTTCCCTTTTTCTTTTTTTTTTTTGAGTTGAGTTGGAGTCTCACTCTGTCGCCGAGACTGGAGTGCAGTGGCCACTCCTGGCCACCGCAGTCTCGACCTGCAGGGCTCCGGCGATCCTTCCGCCTCAGCCTTCCAAGTAGCTGGAACTACAGGCGCACGTTACCATGCCTGGCTAATTTTTTGATTTATTGTAGAGATGAGGTCTCACCAAGTTGCCCAGGTGGGTCTCGAACCCGCGGGCTCAGGCAATCCACTCACCTCAGCCTCCCAAAGGCGCGGGATTACAGGCTGAGCCACCGAGCCCAGCTTTTTCTTTTTTCTTTTCTTTTCTTTTTTTTTTTTTGCAGCCTTCCAAGTAGCTGGAACTACAGGCGCACGCTACCACGCCTGGCTAATTTTTTTTTGATTTATTGTAGAGATGAGGTCTTGCCAGGTTGCCCATGTGGGTCTTGAACCCGCGGGCTCAGGCAATCCACTCACCTCAGCCTCCCAAAGGCACGGGATTACAGGCTGAGCCACCGAGCCCGGCTCCCTTTTTCTTATTAATTGCTAGATTTTCTTTATTTGTTATCTTCTCCTTCTCCCAGTTGCCTTTTTTCTCTTAATGATATTTGTTGATGAGTAAAAGTTTTTACTTTCAATAGTAAATTCAGTTTGTCAAACTTTTCCTTTGTGGCTAGTACTTATTGTGTACCTGTTAAGAAATCTTGGCCTCTTCAAGCTCATAAAGATACTCTGCTCTGTAATCAGCTAGAAGTCTTTTTTTTTTTTGACCTTTCATATTTAGACCTATAATCCAACTGGAATTGATTTTCAGTATGGTGTGAGGTGAGGTAGGGGTCAAGACACATTTGTTTCCATGTAGATATGCAATTAATAAAATACCTGTGCCCTGTGCAATGGCTCATACCACTGTAATCCCAGCACTTTGGGAGGCCGAGGTGGGAGGATTGCTTGAGCCCAAGAGTTTGAGACCAGCCTGGACCTCGTCTCTACAAAAAAAAATTAAAAAACAAAAGTTAGGCAAGTATGTTGGTATGTATCATCTACTCAGGACGCTGAGTTAGAAGATTGCCTGAGCCCAGGAGATTGAGCCATGATTGTGCCACTGTACTCCAGCTGGCAGCAGAGTGGAACCTCAACTAAAAAAATAAAAATAACATTTATTGAGGGGAAAAAAAATTACCCTTTTTTTTTTTTAAGATAAATCAGGAGACTTTGTATGTGCAGGTCTGCTTCTGGATTCTGTTTTCTGGCTCAGTTTGGTGTGTCTGTCTGTCCTTGCTTAGTACTGCCCTATGTTAATTATCATAACTTTGAAATTAGTAAATAAGTGTTGATGCCTGGTAGTGTAAATCTTTCATCTTTTTCTTCTTCAAGATCATCTTTGTTTTTTGTTTTGCTTGTTTTTTGAGTTGGAGTCTCACTCCGTCACCCAGACTGGAGTGCAGGGGCACGCTCCCAGCCACTTCAGCCTCAACCTGCTGGGCTCCGGTGATCCTTCCACCTTAGCCTTCCAAATAGCTGGAACTACAGGTACGCACTACCACGCCTGGCTAATTTTTTTTTTTTTTTAATTGTAGAGACGAGGTCTCGCCAAGTTACCCAGGTGGGTCTCGAATCCGCGGGCTCAGGCAATCCACTCGCCTCGGCCTCCCAAAGTGCTGGGAAGACGGGCTGAGCCACCAAGCCCAGCCCAAGATCATCTTTGTTTTCCTTCACATTTCACACTTCCATGTGTATTTTATTTTATTTCATTTTGAGATAAGGTCTCACTCTTGCCCAGGCAGGAGTACAGTGGTGCAGTCGTAGCTCACCGCAGCCTCCAGTTCCTGGACTCAAGTGGTCCTCCTGCCTCAGCCTCTGAAGTAGCTAGTACTGCAGGTACCTGCCATTATACTCAGGTAGTTTTAAAACTTTTTGTAGAGACAGGGTTTTGTGATGTTGACTAGGAAGGTCTTGAACATCTAGCCTCAAGCCATCCTCCTGCCTTGGACTTGCAAAGTGCTGAGATTACAAGTGTGAACCACCATGCCTTGACTCCATGTACATTTCAGTATCAGCTTATCAATTTCCACAAATAACACTGATACCTTTGCACACTTATATTATTTTCTCTAGTAACTTGAAGGAATACTTATTTCATCTTTTTTTTTTTTTTTGAGTTGGAGTCTCACTCTGTCGCCCAGGCTGGAGTGCAGTGGCCACTCCCGGCCACTGCAGCCTCCACCTGCTGGGCTCCGGCGATCCTTCCACCTCAGCCTTCCATGTAGCTGAAACTACAGGCACACGCTACCACACCCGGCTAATTTTTTATTTGTTGTAGAGATGAGGTCTCGTCAAGTTGCCCAGGCGGGTCTCAAACCCACGGGCTCAGGCAATTCACTCACCTCAGCCTCCCAAAGTGCTGGGATTACAGGCTGAGTCACCAAGCCCAGCCTCTTATTTCATCTTCTTTTGTTAACCTGCTTTTTTCACTCATGTTTTTCCATGCCAATAAATACATTTCTATTAAATTTTTAATAATGCATAATGTTCCATTATTGATTCCAACATTTTTCCTTTACAAACAGCAATATGATGAACATCTTTAATTATTTTATGTTTTCTTTACCTTCGTGGTTATTTTCTTAAGAAATTTTAAGCATTGATACTTACCATAAATATTGAGTACCATTAAACTATGTTGTAGGAAAAAGTAAGACAACGTCCCTGGCCTTCAATTTACAATCTTGGAATTATACAACATATTCATAATTAACTGCACTTATGTATAGAAATGAGAAACAGTTTAATAAGAGGTTAAAATTATGAACCCTGGAGTCAGAGTGCCTGAGTTTGAAAACCTTACTCTTTACTTGCTATATGACTCTAAACAGTTACTTTTTATCTTTGTGTCCTAGGTTTCTTGTCTTTTTAAAAAATAATAAGTGAACTAGGTTTGGTAGCATGCACCTGTAGTTTCAGCTGCTCAGGAGGCTAAGGTGGGAGGATCACTTGAGCCCAGAAGTTTTGAGTCCATCCTGGGCAACATAACAAGACTCCCATCCCTAAAAAAAAGAGTAGATAAAGTAATCCTCAGAAGAGGTTCAGAGGTTTAGATGTGGTAATATATTAAGCACTTTGGTGTCTAATGCATTATAATGATTATTTCTAGAACAATAAGGACCATAAGTGGGTCCTGGGAATCTTAGTTTTAGTTCATTTTAACTTTTATTTATTTATTTTTTTGAGTCGGAGTGTCACTCTGTTGCTCAGGCTGGGGTGCAATAGCACGCTCAGGGCCACCCCACTGTTGACCTGCTGGGCTCTGGCGACCCTTCCACCTTAGCCTTCCAAGTGGCTGGAACTGCAGGCACATGCTACCACGCCCGGCTAATTTTTTATTTCTTTTATTGTAGAGACAAGGTCTTGCTGAGTTGTCCGGGCTGGTCTTAAATCGTGGGCTCAGGCAATCCACTCACCTCGGCCTCCCAAAGTGCTGGGATTACAGGTCATTTTTATTTTTTGCTGGGAAAAGCAAGTCTCCGGCTTGGGCCAAAGGAACTCTCTCTTTCAGGGTCCTGGGAATTGTACAAATAGGCACTGTCTTTTGAATCTGTGATTTTTGTTGTTTATTATCCTTCTAGAAACTCTGTAGTCTACTCTAACAGGGTTTGGCTTATAGTAGACTGCTGTACTGCATGTTAAGTGAGTGAATAAATGAATGTAAATATGTTCTAGAGAGACTGACTTGTGAATTGAAAGAATCATGATGATCTAACTAATTCTCTGATTTCAGGTTTGAAAGATTAGAAGTCCTGGCTGTATTTGCCTCCACAGTCTTGGCACAGTTGGGAGCTCTCTTTATATTAAAAGAAAGGTATGTTTACCTGTGCTGTTATCCTAAATCCCACCCATGACACCTTTGGAAACATGAAAGAAGCCAGTGAGATGCATCTGGATTGAAGGGCATGCAAATTAAGATGACGCATTGATAGTACAATTTCTTCATGTTTCAGACTTTTCTCCTTTTTTTTTTTTCGCTGCTTTTATTTCCTTTTTTTTTTTAAGTGGGAGTCTCACTCTGTCACCCAGGCTGGAGTACATTGGCATACTCACGGCCACTGCAGCCTCTACTTGCTGTGCTCAGGTGATCCTTCTGCTTTAGCCTTTCAAGTAGCTGGAACCCCACGCCAGGCTAACTTTTTGATTTACTATAGAGATGAGGTCTCGCCATGTTGCTCAGGTTGGTCTCGAACCCGTGGGCTCAGGCAATCTTTTTGTCTCTGCCTCCCAAAGTGCTAGGATTAAAGAAGTGAGCCACCATGCCCAGCATTATTTTCTTTTTTGATGCTACTAAACTGACTCATAGATGGGGTGAATGGAAAAGTGGGATTCGGTTAGACTTGTTTGATGCTCATTACAAACCCATTAAAACAGGTTTAGTAAAGATTGACGTTTTGTATTAAGGATAATTTGTGACTCTCCTGCCTCATCACAACCAATCAATAGTGGGTTCTAGTATTTAAAGATTTTGTGGCCAGGCGCGGTGGATCAAGCCTGTAATCCCAGCACTTTGGGAGACTGAGGCTAGAAGATTGCCAGAGACCAGGGCTTCGAGACCACCCTGAGCAACTTGGCGAGACCTCGTCTCTGCGATACATCAAAAAATTAGCTGGGCATGGTGGCTGCGGTTCCAGGTACTTGGAAGTCTGAGGCGGAAGGATTGCCTGAGCACAGCAGGTCAAGGCTGCAGTGGTTGTGAACCATGCCACTGCACTCCAGCCTGGGCAACGGAGTGAGACTACAGCTCAAAAAAAAAAAAACAGATTTTGTGAACTTTAAGCTAGACTAATTATAGTTTTAATTTTATGCTTTATAGGACTTATTTAATACATTTTTCTTTCTTTTAGTGCAGAACGCTTTTTGGAGCAGCCTGAGATACACACGTGAGATTTTATTTTTGATATAACATATAGTTTACTGTTAAGTTTAATTCCTAATTATTAATCAATGTATTCTTAAATAGTGCTTACTTTGACCAATATCAGAGTATGGCAATGTACATTTTCACTGGTACTTCAAAAACAAAACCTCCAACTCCCAAGACTCTACACCCTTATCAGTTCCCAGGGCCTAGGTGTTTTCATACTACACAGAAAGGTCTTTCTACCTTGGCTTTAGGTTCGTCATTATTTCCAGAACCACGTCAACACACTAAGACATCTCCCTCTAGTCTTCTATAATTTCAGTTTTGACCTTCAGAATCTTTTCATGAACCTATAGAAAAGAGAATTGTATGTATCAACCACATCATTGCCAACTCCATGGACCTTACCTGTTCTGATCAATTTAATTCAGGAAAGTCTGACTTGTCCAGTATTGTAAACCAAATGCCGTTCACATTTAAACAGAGTTATAGCAGCGATTTCCTGTGAGAAGATACTGTTGATGATGAGAGTCCTGTCTTGCCCTGTAAGACGGAGTAATAGGAGACGGGACATGAGATATGGGCTAGAAACCAAGTTCAGATTCTGGCTCTGGAAATACCAAACCATTGAAGCAGATCGCTCTACATTCCCTTCTCGTAGTCCCTACACACGAAAATTAATCCTGGTATTACCAAGAAAAAAATAAAGGTGAATGTTATTATTGTTCTTTTTAGGGGAAGATTATTAGTTGGTACTTTTGTGGCTCTCTCTTTCAACCTATTCACGATGCTTTCTATTCGGAATAAACCATTTGCTTACGTCTCTGAAGGTATGTTTTCGATTTACTATTAATTTAAAAAACTAGTTACTCTCACATAAAAACAAATCTTTTGTTTGTTTCACTAACTCATAAGTCAATGAGAAAATATATTCTGAAATAAGAGAGAACTAGCCCAAAGATTCTCAAGTCTTCTTTAATTGGAGAATTATAAAACAAAATCTCATTAGTTCAAGTTTAAAATAACATTATTTTAAAACAGGCAGGAATGATCTATATATTAAAGTATAAGTGATAAAAAATTACATTTACTAAGAATGTCAATGAGATTTTAGGTATGTAATCTACCCAAGGAAAGTCCATTGTAAGCATTTTAGAGCCATCAGTATACTTAGAATAGTTGATATGCTAATTGAAAATAATTGCATTATGTTAATTAAATTTGTTCCGAGGAACTTCTCTTTGACAGTGGTGGATGGGCATGTATTTGCAAGTAGTACAACTTTATTTCTTTTGAAATATACTATTATCTTGAAGTCTTTACAGCTTTTCACTTCAGCAGTCTAAATTATGGGCATTTTTCAGTAATTGCAGACTTTTGGAATCTCACTAACCCACAAAGAGTTAACCATTAACTGATGGAGAAGTGAGGTGGAAACAAGTGGGATGTGTGTGCAGACCCACACTTTGAAGCATGGAGAGGCGAGATTGGTGGGGTCTTTCTAGGTCTCACAAATGTGACGCAAGGTAGTCAAGGGAAGAATGCTTTCCAAAGCCCCTCAGGTTTACACAGCTTCATGAATGGTATAAAGATGAATGGTATTTGTATGGACTAGTGTTTAAGAATTACTGCATGAGGCCAGGCTCAGTGGCTTAGCCTATAATGCCAGCACTTTGGGAGGTTGAGGCGAGTGAATTGCCTGAGCCCACCACTTCAAGACCAGCCCGGGCAACTTGGTGAGACCTTGTCTCTACAATAAATAAAAAAATTTAGCTGGACATAGTTGCGCGCACCTGTAGCTCTAGCTACTTGGAAGACTGAGTTGGAAGGAGTGCCAGAGCCCAGCAGATCGACGCCGGGGTGGCCGTGAGTGTGCCACTGCACTCCAGCTTGGGTGACAGAGTGAGACTTTGACTGAAAAAAAAAAAAATTACTGCGTACATTAGAAAATTAGACAATGAGACTTGTGATCATCAGAATTTTTATAAATGTATAAAATATTACTATAAAAAGGTATTTTATAATTTATAAAAGTAATATAACACTCACTCTAGAAATTTTTTTTAAAGTCCAAGGGTTTAGAAACACTGTCTCTCTGTAAAGATAAGAAAGACACAAGAAAGAAAAATACTGCTAATCTTATGGCCCAGAGATAATATCTGTTAACATTTCTATTTTATTCCTTTCACTTTTTTGTGTGCACATGTATGTATCATTTTATGTACTTAGAATTATATGTATTATAGTTTTATGTCTGGCTTTTGTTTAGCATGTTTTGAGTATTGCCTCTCATTAAATATGCCTTGAATGCAAATGATTTTTGAATTCTTGTATAATATTGTCATATGGATATTTTTAAACATCTTTTAAATATTGCCAACTTTTCCTTTTATAAATAATGCTATAATCATCTTATATCAAATTTCTTGTCTGCTTTTCTGATTCTCTGTAGGATAAATTCCCAGAGAAGGAATTATGAACTGGATTAAAAATATAGTATTTTTTAAAAAAAGTTTTGATATATGTTGCCAGGTTTTATTTTCAGAAAGATTATCAAGTTTGTATTTTCATTAGCTAGAAATGAAGGCTCCCAGAAACGATCAAGATTTGTGGCATTAGCTAGGCATGGTGGTGACACGTACTTATTGTCCCAGCTACTCAGGAGACTGAAGTGGGAGGATCAGTTGAACCCAGGAGTTCCAGGTCAAGCCTGGGCAGCATAATAAGACCCTGTTTCTATTAAAACAAAAATAAGCCCAAAAAATTGTAACATTACTTGAAATTTGAGTGGAAAATAATATTAAGCACTTACTATATGCCAACCGCTGCTAAATTCTTTGCAAAGAATAACCCATTTAATTCTCCCCATAATCTTATGAATTAAATAATTTTATTATCCCCATTTTATACTGAGGAACTGAGAGAGTAAATCATTTACCCAATGTCTCACACATCTGGGCACAGCTGGTATGTGAAGCCGGGTAGTCTGCCATCTGAGTTTTCTTTTCACTGCTCTACTGTTCTTTTGTATAAGACTTGCCAACCTTTTTTATATAATGGACATAAAATGGATATTTCTGTAGCACCCTGGGATAAATGGAGAAGGATACTGAGCCTGGTGGCTGCTTGTCCAGGGTTAGGGTTAGGGCTAGGGTTAGGCACTGACAGGTGCATTAGATGCACCCAGATGCCCACCTGACTCTTTTGAGAGCTGAAGGAATTCATAATTGATAACACAGATGGAGCAACCCTTATCTGAAGTGCTTGGGATCAGAAGTGTCTTAAATTTTTGGATTATTTCAGATTTGGGGATATTTGCATTATATTTATGGGTTGAGCATCCCTAAACTGAAAATTCGGAATTTGAAGTACTTCAGTGATCATTTCCTTTGAGCTTCATGCTGGTGCTTAAAAAGTTTTGGAGTTTGTATTTTCCAATTAGGGATGCTCAGCGTGTACCTGGAACCCCTTCTCAGCACACTGGTTAGGAAGCTCTGCACTGCAGTATAAAGAATCTTTAGCACTTAAAATCAGTATTAACAGTGACATATCTAAGTTCACTGATTCCTTCCGGCCAACTGTAGATTGTAGTTGAAACTGCTTTTGACTCCTGGATTTGAGGAGAAGTATGTCCTTTTGTAATATTACTCAGTTACTGCCAAACTTTTAAAATGAAAGAACTCGAGTATTTCTGGTAGTGGTTTTTTTCTTCTATGTAGATAATTTAAGTATTTTCTTCTTAAAGCTGCTAGTACGAGCTGGCTTCAAGAGCATGTTGCAGATCTTAGTCGAAGGTAAGATGTTATGGAGTTTCATGATATGCATAATTTAAATACAGAATGCACGTGTCACAGGAACGTACGTTAGTCATTGCTGAGGTGACTACGTGAACCACGCAGGTCAGACTCTTCTCTACTTTTTCCTACTTTTAAAATTGATAATAAAAGGAGAACTTTACAACTGAGAGTTTTGTTTCCGAGGTCTCTTTGCTTTCTTTAAGTACATTATATGGTACTAAACTTTTACAAGGTTTTTGTCCGTATCACGTGAGTTCTGCTGATGAATACTCTTTCTGTTTGTCGTAGCTTATGTGGAATTATCCCAGGACTCAGCAGTATCTTCCTTCCCCGAATGAATCCATTTGTTTTGATTGATCTTGCCGGAGCATTTGCTCTCTGTATTACATATATGCTAATTGAAATCAAGTAAGTATCTTTCATTGCTGTCAAGTGTGTTTCAATTCCTGGGGCCTCACTTTTAAGGTCATCAGCAGGTTGGATAGGGTCCAAGCTTCTAGCAGTTTTGCTTATGACCTGTGTAACTTTGGTCAAGTCTGCCGCAAGTGTCTTTATCTGAAAAATTAAGGGATTAGGTTGAGTAAGTACTTCTCACCACAATGCAGACTACAAAACAATTTAAATTTCCTGCTGCTTTCCTGATGGGGGAAACAGAAGAGAAAGGCAGAAGAGAGATCCAAACCAACTGTGTTGCTGAGAGAGGGAGGAGAAGAGGAAGTAGGTGCGAAACATTTTTTTTTAAAAAGCCTTTTAGGAAATAGATACTACAGCTTCTTTAAATTTAATGCTTTATGACATCGGAGTCTCTGACTACCCATCCTTTTATTTATTTGTTTGTTTTTTGAGTTGGAGTCTCACTCTTGTCACCCAGGCTGGAGTGCAGTGGCACGCTTACAGCCACCGCAGCTTCCACCTGCTGGACTTAGGCGATCCTTCCTCCTCAGCCTTCCAAGTAGCTGGAACTACAGATGCACGCCACCATGTCTGGCTAGTTTTTGTGATTTATTGTAGAGACGAGGTCTCACCAAGTTGCCCAGGCTGGTCTAGAATCCATGGGATCAGGCAGTCCTCTCGCCTCAGCCTCCCAAAGTGCTGGGATTATAGGCTGAGCCACTGTGCCCGGCCTACCCATCTTTTTAATATTATTAGTGTTTATTAGAATCTGTCCTTGATAATCAATAATTCTTCCTGTTTTGCATATTCTCCTTTAAAAATCACGCACAGTTGTTTTTCTTTGCTACCTCTATGGGATTCCCACGTTTTAATTTCTAGCCCATGTCTGTTGAATCCCAAAAGCTGTGTCTTCTTGACCTGTCATCATGTCTGCCTCAACTGAATCTGTCTTCCCATCTCCAACACTGTTCTCCTTGTATTTCCCATCTCAGTGAACGCTATGCTCATCTACGCCAATGCATTTTTTTGCATGGAAATTATGTCAAAAGATACATAACATCAGGTATATTATTTACATTTGTAAGTGCAGAGTTCAGTGGCATTAAGGACATGCAGATTGTTGTGTGACCGTCACCACTATCTGTACCATAACTTTTCATCACCCCTTGCTAAAATGCTGTCCTCATCAAACAGTAGCTCCCTGTTTCTCCTTCTCACAACCCCCTCAGCCACCATTCTGCTTTCTGTCTCTGTGAACTTGACTTCTCTTGGTACTTCATATAAGTGAAATTATACAGTATTTGTTATTTTGTGTTTGGCTTATCTCACTGAGCATAATGCCCTTAAGTTATATCCATGTTGTGGCAGGTGTCAGAATTTCCTTCCTTTTTAAGGCTGAATAACATTCTGTTACATGTATGTACATTGTATTTACCCATTCATCTATCTATGGACATTTGGGTTGGTTCCTTTTCTGGCTGTGGTGAATAATGCCTGTTTGAGTTGCTGCTTTCAATTTCTGGGTGTGGAGGAGGGGAGGAAGGGGAATATATACCCAGAAGTGGAATTGCTGGATCATGTGGTAATTATTTAATATTTGTAGGAACTCCAATAATTCTTTTTAAACATTTATTACTTTTTATATACTTAGGGAATATAAGTACAGGTTTCTCACATGCATTTATTGCATTGTAGTCAGTGCTTTTGGGGGGGGTCTCACTCTGTCATCCAGGCTAGAGTGCAGTGGCGCAGTCATGACTCACCGCAGCCTCCAACTCCTGGTTTCAGGTGATCCTTCCATCACAGCCCCCCATGTAGCAGGGACTACAGGCACATGCCACCATGTCTGGCTAGGTTTTTTTTTTGTTTTACTTTTTGTAGAGATGAGGTCCCACTGTGTTGCCTAGGCTGGTCTCAAACTCCTGGGCTCAAGCAATCCTCCCGCCTCGGCCTCCCAAAGTGCTGGGACTACAGGCGTGAACCACCATGCCCGATTACAGTACATACTTAAATACCTACTTCTACTCCCTCCTCCCTTCTCACTGCTCTACCATTTCTCTTAATATTTATTTATTTGTCCCTCTTTCTTAAACTTATTGCTGTGACCCAGATCATGCTGTCCTTCTGCTCTTCTGGTTTTAATTCTCACCCATTCTAGTTAGCTTCTACTTGCTACGAACATGATCATTCAAAATTGCCTGTTCAGATATAGTATTTTCCGTTTCAAAACACTGCTCTTTGCATATTCACAAATGTGGAAAGTTAGGGGTACAGAATCCTGTGCAGTCAGGCCCCGCTGACCCTCTGAGCCACTGTCTCTTCTGCTCCTGTTTGTGGTCTTGTTGCGTGTCAGGGCTGTCATCTTCTTGGCATGTGTTGCTTCCAATCACATGTCTTGAAGGCTCGCTCAAACGACACCTCTTCTGTCTGCATTTGGCCTTTCTGGATTTTCCCAACCCAGTAGGAAAGAGTGTCACTCACTCCTCTGTGCAGCCGTGGGACTCCAGACATTTCCACTTTTATCATCAAAATGCTTTCACTCTGGTTTCCACTTGTGTGTCTCCTACTACTTATGGGGCAGGGACTTTGTCTCATCCACATGTCTGTTTCCTACATAAGCAAAAAAGTTTTTAAAAAAAAGTGCATCATCAGCATGTGACTATTGGCATTTGGGTAGGTATTGTTAGGAGTCTGAACTATTGATGTCAGCCACAGTGCTACCAGAATGAATTCCTGGAGAAATTTGTTCACAGTCTCACCTAGTGAAATTCCTGGGGAATATGAAAAATTTTATTGGAAAAAATTATTGTTTACAGGAAATTTAATACAATTACTGGTGAATTCCATTAGTCTCTCTGTATCAGAAATTAATAGTTGGCAGCCTGGGCAACATAATGAGGTCCTCTCTCTGGAAAAAAATAGTCTAGCGTGATGGCATGTGCCTATAGTCCCAGCTACTGGGGAGGCTGAGGTGGGAGGATCACTTGAGCCCAGGAGTTCAAGGCTGTAGTGAACTATGACTGCACCATTGTACTCCATCCTGGACAACAGAGTGAGGCCCCTATCTCTAAAAAAAAAAATTACTAGTTGAAGTTTTTTGTCTCATGCATATGAATATCTTTTAATTCTTTCTAGTTGACAAGTAGTTTGGCAGAAAAATACACAATGGAGGAACACTCACATTTGTTCCTCCTTTTTACTAATTAACATACTTGTAGTTATTTTTCCTCTGAACTTTGACAGGAAAGGATTCTAAAAACTGTTGTTGACCAGGCATGGTGGCTGAAGCCTGTCATCGCAGCACTTTGGGAGACTGAGTCAAGAGGACTGCCTGAGCCTAGGCGTTCAAGACTAGTCTGGGCAACTTGGCAAGGTCTCATCTTTACAGTAAATCAAAAAAATCAGCCGGGCATGGTAGCACATGCCTGTGGTCCCAGCTACTTGGAAGGCTGAGGAGGAAGGATCGCTTGAGCCCAGCAGTCTGAGGCTATGGTTGGCCATGAGTGTGCCACTGCACTCCAGCCTGGGTGACAGAGTGAGACTCTGACTCAAGAAAAAGGAAAAAAATAAACTGTTGTTGTTTTTCTAATCCATGAGATTCTTCTTTGCCAATAGTGACCAGTTGTGATGAAATAGTCATGTTGCTTTAGATAATCAAAGTTCAGTAGATTGAATTATAATATGGCCGGTGAGTGATACATGTAAGACTGAGAATTGTTTTTTCCTCTTAGTAATTATTTTGCTGTAGACACTGCCTCTGCGATAGCCATTGCCCTGATGACGTTTGGCACAATGTACCCCATGAGTGTGTACAGTGGCAAGGTGCTACTCCAGGTAAGGCTCCTCTGCCAGTGCTCATGCTGAAGTCTTTCGTTATTGGAGAGCCCTGTTAGAAATGAAGTCACGCCCAACTGTAATCCCAGTTGGGAGACCAAGGTGAATGGATTGCCTGAGCCCGCAGGTTCAAGACCAGCCTGGGCAACTTGGCGAGACCTCATCTCTACAACAAAGTAAAAAATTAGCTGGTTGTGGTAGTGTGCGCCTGTAGTTTCAGCTACTTGGAAGGCTGAAGCGGAAGGATCGCTGGAGCTCAGTAGGTCGATGCTGAGGTACCCATGAGTGTGCCGCTGCACTCCAGCCTGGACGACAGAGTGAGACTCCAACTCAAAAAAAAAAAAAAGAAAATCAAATGGTCATCACTGATGTTCATGTCAGAAGAACCAGATGAAATTCCACTGGCCCATAACATAGGCACAAATCCTCCTATGTTTATAATCTAACACCAGATCATGAATTTAAAATTACTTGCCTTTAATCATGTTTCAGGTGAAAACAACGTTACTTAACATTCTTTAGGTATTTATTTTCCCTCAGTAAATGTGCTTTGACTGTTGTATATTCTGATTATAACTGTTTTATTATTTCCTGTCATTGAATCAGTGCGACTTTTTACACTTTAAATTTAAAATTTTAAATGACAGATTGTTACTTACTGAAACAGCAGGGTCACCTGGAGACAAGGCCCTGAGTGCAAAGGCAGTTTCCCAGGCGGGCTGTGTGTATAAGCTGTGTGTGCTTCCTCTGTCTTACCTTTGTGCCTTTTCCAAGACTTGGGGGCAGCAGCTCCAGCCCCAAAAGCAGTCATGACACTGTAGGTTGGGGATTCTCTAAGTCTTACGAGGCTCTCAAGATGGCCGCTTCCTTGTGAGATAGATGAGTATGGGTCCCTTGATGATGTTCCCCTCCCCCAGGGGGCCCAGCTTAACCACTCTTCCCCACATCTTGTGAGGGCGCATGTCACTGCAAAGCCTGGTTTAAAATTCATTTTAGGGGATGTCAGGACTGTTTTTTCTCTCTAGGTTATTCATATTTTATTTTATTTTTTCCCCAGACAACACCACCCCATGTCATTGGTCAGTTGGACAAACTTATTAGAGAGGTAAGATGGAATAAAATTATTTTAATTTATATTAGGAAATTGAAAGAGCGGACACATTAAAATACTTTATCCAACCCTACCTAGAATTTTATTTTAGAGGATTTGTGTTCTTGACAGTAATATGCTAGGAGCCATAACATAGTAGCAAAAATTGAAAAATTTGAGGAATTAGTTAATTTGGAAGCCCAATTTACTTGAAATAAATGTGGAAGATAATGGTCTAAAGACCCCTCTTATCAAAAATGCTCTAATTGGCACCTTGAGGTAGCTCATGCCTATAATCTCAGTACTTTGTAAGGCCAAATTGGGAAGATTTGTTGAGCCCAGGAGTTCAAGACTAGCTAGAACAACATAGCAAGACACTGTCTCTACAAAAAATTACATAATTAGCCAGGTGTTATAGTGTGTACCTGTAGTCCCAGTTACTCAGGAGGCTGAGGTGGAAGGATTGCCAGAGCCCAGGAGGCTTAGGCTGTCGTGAGCTGGGACTGTGCCACTGCACTCCAGCCTGTGACAGAGTGAGACCCTGACTCAAAACAAAAAGCTTTGATTTTTATGACTGTGTCCTCAAATTTAGTATTTTGTAAAAGTCAAAGGCCACTTTTATGTGTTGATTACTTTCTTTCCCACCTAACATCTTGAGCTGAAGGTTTAGACTTTGTGTTATGAATTTCTACTTGCTCACTAATGAAGAAATAAAATAATTGAACTGTTTGGTGTGGAGATTACTTTAAACTCTCAGTTGTCAGTATAACAAGATAGCTGGCCACGCATGTCGGCTAGTGAAGCCTGGCCCTGGGTGCGTCTCCTGGGCCCCTGGACCAATGGGCCACACACCATATGTCTAGCTTTGGAATTTCCTGAAAGCCCACATCGAAAGAACGTCCTGTGTTGTACAGAGACTTGTTAAAAGGGAATCCAGAGAAAGAAATGATTGAGAAGACCAAAAAATTAAATGAGTTAATACTACAAAGTGCTTGATGTAAATATTACATACCTATTGATGAGATGAGTCATAAACTGTTGAGGGAGCTAGGGGGAGGGGCCAAGTCTGAGCAGTTGGGACCTGATTCTGAAAGAATTGGGGCCTGGGTCAGTGCTGGAGCAGCCAGAGTATCCAGTGACCTGGGACTTCTCTTAGCTAGCGAGTGTCCTTGTGCAGTGTCTGGCCGTGTCATTTCTAAGTTTTCAGCAAGTCCATAATGTGACTAAACTGTGTTGAATATGTGAAATACAAACAAACCCTGATAAACTCTTTCTGTGTTTTTGATTAGGTGTCTACCTTGGATGGAGTTTTAGAAGTTCGAAATGAACATTTTTGGACCCTAGGGTTTGGCTCATTGGTATGTTTTTTTACATTTTACTTTAATGATAATTTAAACATAGTTTTTAATTTTTAAAACTGAAATAGTATTTCTTTAAAATTTTCATAGAGCCTTTGATTCTTATTTGTGTTCAGGAGAATCTAAAATGTAGATGAACTCAGTTACCTTATTGAGATGGAGAGGTGTTTTTTTTTTTTTTGAGTTGGAGTCTCACTCTGTCGCCCAGACTGGAGGGCAGTGGCCGCTCCCGGCCACTTCAGCCTCGACCTGCTGGGCTCCGGCGATCCTTCCGCCTCAGCCTTCCGAGTAGCCGGAATTACAGGCATGCGCTACCACGCCCAGCTGATTTTTTTATTTATTGTAGAGTTGAGGTCTCGAACCCGCGGGCTCAGGCAATCCACTCACCTCAGCCTCCCAAAGGCGCGGGATTATAGGCTGAGCCACCGAGCCCGGCTTGAGAGGTGTTTATCTTTATCTTTTTTCCTTCAAACATCTGTAAAGGATCTTAATACTAGAGTGTCTAGACAAGACAAATCCATAGTCAGTATAACTCTTTTTTGTTGTTGTTGAGTTGCAGTCTCACTCTGTGGCCCAGACTGGGGTGCACTGGCACGTTCCCGGCCACAGCAGCCTCAACCTACTGGGCTCTGGCGATCCTTCCACCTCAGCCTACCAAGTAGCATCAGTGTAACTCTTAAGCGTGAAAATGTTGCAAAAGTAAAAAATACAATTAGTTTCTTTCTTTTTTTTTGAGCCAGAGTCTCACTCTGTCACCCAGTCAGGCTGGAGTGCAATGGCACGCTTCTGGCCACCGCAGCCTTGACTTGCTGGGCTCAGACGATCCTTCACCTCAGCCTTCCAAGTACCTGGGACTACAGTTGCATGCTACCACGTCCAGCTTTTTTTTTTTTTTATTGTGGAAAAGAGATCTCACCAAGTTGCCCAGGCTGGTCTGTCTAGAATCCCTGAGCTCAGGCAATCCTCTCACCTCGGCCTCCCAAAGTGCTGGGATTATAGGCATTATAGGCTTGAGCCACTGCGCCTGGCCAGTTTCTTTCTTTTTTTTTTTTTGAGTTGGAGTCTCACTCTGTCACTCAGACTGGAGTGCAGTGGCCGCTCCCGGCCACCGCAGCCTCGCCTGCTGGGCTCCGGCGATCCTTCTGCCTCAGCCTTCCGAGTAGCTGGAATTACAGGCGCGCGCTACCACGACCGGCTAATTTTTTGATTTATTGTAGAGATGAGGTCTCGCCAAGTTGCCCAGGCGGGTCTCGAACCCGCGGGCTCAGGCAATCCACTCACCTCAGCCTCCCAAAGGCACGGGATTACAGGCTGAGCCACCGAGCCCAGCTCAGTTTCTTTTTTAACTGCAGTTCTTCTAGCTTTGAAGATTTTGCTGAATTTCTTGGAGAATTATAATAACACAACTTGCTTTAGCAGAAATAAAATGCCATGTTTTCTAATCCAGTTTGGACATCATCATCAGAGATACTATATTATGGCATGGTTTTATCCCTATGTCAAGAATGGTAAGGAAGATTCAGAAAAATACCCAGAAAAAAACTTAAATTACTATAGTCCTGTCATCTAGAGAAAACTGCTGTTGATATTTTGGTATTTATACATTTATTCTTTTTTAGGAAATGAGATCATGCTGTTTTATGATTTGCTGTTGTCACTTAATATATTACAAAGTTTTAAATACTCTTAGTCACTAAATACTCTTCTACAATATCATTTTAATAATTTAAAAAAATTTTTAAAATAGCTTTGGGGGTATACATAATTTTTGGTTACATGGTTACATTGTGTAGTAGTGAGGAAGTCTGGGCTTTAAGTTACCCTCCGCCCCCACAATGCACATGCACTGTCATTTTTTCAAAAACCAGATAGGGTTTGACTTTTCTAACATGACACAAATTCTGGAGGTCAGTGATGACACCTGCTCTGCGTGTCTAGTCTCAGTGGGAAGACTGTGTGCCTCCCCGTTCCCCTTCCCCTCCAGTCACCTTGGATGTCTGAAAGTCACTCTCCAGTTTGCTTTTCAGAAAGGTTTCCTGGGAACAGTATTCCTGAATTCTTCAATGCTGAAACCAGTTTGTGGATATTTTGTTTGAAGATTAGCTTGTCTGGATATGAAATCTGCAGTCCACATTTTGTTTCCTCAAGTTTTTTAAGTACATGTCCCCATTTACCTCTGGCATAAATCTATGACAATGCCTGATGATAGTCTGTTTTTCCTTTTATATGTGACTTGATCTTTGCCCAAAGTTTTTTTTTTTTTTTTTGAGTCAGAGTCTCACTCTGTCACCCAGACTGGAGTGCAGTGGCACACTCACAACCACCACAGCTTCAACCTGCTGAGCTCAAGTGAGTCTTCCACTTCAGCCTTCCAAGTATCTGGAGCTACAGGCACGTGCCACCACGCCTGGCTGATTTTTTTAATTTATTGTAGAGATGAGGTCTCACCAAGTTGCCCAGGCTGATCTTGAACTCCTGGGCTC